GTTTTATGTGCTCGTCTACCGTCTCGTAATCGCCGTGATAACGGACGTGTTCACCATCAGCATCAGCATCATCATCATCATCATTACCACCACCATCATCATCATCACCAGCCTCGGTATTAATAGTATCATCATCATCAGGTTCATCACTAAGCACATCATCATCATCATCATCATCACCAGCATCACCATGATCATCACCACCAGCATCACCACCAGCCTTACCGCCGTCATCACCATCATTTGCTGCGTCTGACTGATGGTCTTCGTCCGTCGTGGGGGGGGAGGGGGTGGTGGTCGTCGTGGTGGTCGTCCTGTTGAAGTACTCGTCGTCCCCTTCCAGCTTCCTCTTGACTGCCGGGAGAAACGACCTTCTAAGAGACTTCGATTTTTTTTTTAAGATTAAGCGTCTTTCTTATTCTCATTCTCTCTGTCAATTTACATTTTTCTCTCTATCTTTCTGTCTATCTATCTATCCATATATATATATATATATATATATATATATATATATATATATATATATATATATATATATATATATGCCTGTTTATCTATCTATCTATCTATATCTGTCTGTCTATCTATTTATCTATCTGTCTGTCCATCTATCTATCTATCTATTTATCTATCTATCTACCTACCTATCTATCTACCTATCTACCTATACATATAAAGATTATCTGCATATTTTACATTTGTTTAGAATAGATATATTACTCTTTATTCAATTTCAGTGCATTTATGACATACACACTTGATACATACAGAAATTTCCTCTAACTGTATGATGATAACATTTATATCCATATGAATGTATCAAACTCTAAGTTAATTCCCATAAACTATACTTCATTTCCTTGAGATTTTAATGACTGCGAAAAATACCACCCTGTCAATTAATGATGTATGCCCAGGGTTAATGGATAGCTACCCGCATGTCAGTTCATCAAATAAATAAAATTTCTAAATGCGTTATCAATGTGTCACTGGTACATTTCTCAAAAGGTCTGTAAAACGAATCCAGGTGTTTATTTTGTCATTTGCTTACCAGTGCTTGCGTTACAATTCTCCTATTCCTAGTTTTCCTTCTCCTCCTCATCCTCATTTTCATCATCATCCTCATCTTCTTTATCATCATCATCATTATCATCATTTTCATCACCATCATCATACTTATCATCATCATCATCATTTTCATAATTTCCATGATCATCAGTTTCATCATCATCATCATCATTATCATAATGATAAAAATGATAGTGATGATAGTAATAATAATAATATTACAATAATAATAATAATAATGATAATAATAATAATAATAATATTAACAGTCATAATGATGAGGACAATAAGAATCTTGTTGACAATAATAATAATAATAACAATGACAATGACAATAATAATAATAATAATAATAATAATAGTAATAATAATAATAATAATAATAATAACAACAATAACAATAATAACAGTAATACTATTACTATTATCAAAAAAAATCAAACAAAAAAAAAATAAATAAATAAAAAAACATCGCCACTTACTATAGAGTTCCCACATGGCCATGACGTCATCGTAAGCCAGGGAGAAATGGGGGGTGTAGCCCTTGTAGTAAGGGAACATGATGGAGTCGGCGACGGGCGAGTGGGCGAGACCGAGGGAGTGGCCTATCTCGTGCACGGCGACGGTGAAGAAGTCCAGACCTGTGGGGGGGAGAGGAGTGGATTGATTGATTTGTATTGTATATTTTATTGTTTTTTTTTTGTTGTTGTTTGTTTGTTTGTTTCATTTTTTATGTGTATTTTTTTCTTTTTTTCTTTTTTTGATTGGGAAATGTAGGTGGGAAAGGAAGTTTTTTTTTTGGGGGGGGGAAGGGGGGCTGGGGGGGGGGAGAGAATTGGAAGTATTTTGATGTTTCTACACTTTTTTTTCTTTCTTTTTCTCTTTTTCTTTCTTTCTCTCTCTCTCACTCCCCTCTTCTCTCTCTCTCTCCTATTTCTTTACTGAAACTGCTGAACATTCGATAAATAAGGCCGAATTTCCTCCTAAATTCAATTCAGTCCAATAAGGTCCTTAATCCCCTCTGCCCCGCCCCCCCTCCTCTTCCTCTTCTTCTTCTTCCTCCTCCTCCTCCTCCTCCTCCTCCTCCTCCTCCCCCTCCTCCCCCTCCCCCTCCTCCCCCTCCCCCTCCTCCTCCTCCTCCTCCTCCTCCCCCTCCTCCTCCTCCTCTTCCTCCTGCCCCTCCTCCTCCTCTGCCTCCTCCCCCTCCTCCCCTTCCTCCTCCTCCTCCTCCTTCTCCTCCTCCTCCTCCTACTCCTCCTCTTCCTCTTCCTCCTCCTCCCCCTCCTCCCAACCTTCCTCCCTCCTCCTCCCCCACGTCCTCATCCTTCCTCCTCCTCCTCCTCTCCCTCCTCCTCCTAACCTTCCTACCCCTCCTCCTCCTGACCTTCCTCCTCCTCCTCCTCCTCCTCCTCCTCCACCACCTCCTCCTCCT